AAAAGAGTAAGATAATTTGGGCTTTAATTTTGTAATTGGAAAAGGAACTCTACATGTAAAGTATTTATGTCTATCTTTGGGTTCTAATGTCTCGCTTTTATTTCCTGACCTGGGGTTGGGCCGCCTCCGACGTAAGCATTAGGGACTGAATCGTGTCAGCGTTGCTGCTAAGACGCTTATCTTAATCCAGGTGTTCTTGGATTGCTTTGTGGCAGCGAGCAAGGTGGTAGCTGTGATCATATACGTGGGCTGCAGGTGTGAGTTCTGAGGTGCTCTGTGACCACCCAGTGACTCCATCCCTGGTAAATGTGAGTTGGTGCTTTTCTTTGTATGTTCTATTTTGAACACATGGGGGATAGTGGTATTAAATTCTTTATAGTGTCATTCTCCAAGATTGGAATGAATATCCGTGAATTAATTCTATCTCGTGTCATTACAGCAAATATAACTCAAAGGTGGACAGCCAGTGAGGAACCAGCTGTAGAACTGGTTGAGATCGTTCTGCAATTGGTAGTTACCCATTTGGGCTGGCCTGGCTTCCTAGAAGACAAGGATTGTGCCAGCAAGCACAGGGCAGGTTCACTATCAATTTGGGCAGAGGGATGAAGAGTTCCGGAGCCCTCAGTAGTTTTTCAGGCTTTCATGCTCCTTCAGGGAACTAGATACACAGGCACAACAGGCAGGGAGGCTGGCATGAAAGGAGGCAGGCACGGGCCATTCAGGGGTGGTTAAGAGGCGGATAGGGAACCAAGCTGCCCAGCACCCTTTCTCTGGGCTCCTGGCATTCTCTTTCACATGCGTGCACACCCATACTCCAGTTGTTCACAGTCAGGCACGAGTGCCCTCTGCTCACCCTCCCAAGGCTTTCTGCATTAGCATAGTCAAGGCTGCAGGTGATAGCCACTGAGGCTAGTGGTGTAAAAAACCTGATTAATTTGTTTACCCTACAACAAGCTTTTATTGTGTTTGCATAGACAGAGCCCAAAATCTCTGTGTAACTTAGGACTTTTATAGGAGACCTCCAGAATGAATAAATTTCTTGTCTTATGCCTCAATTCTGATAGCCCCAGAGACCGCTTTCTTAGACAGGTGCCCCTTGTTTCATTCCAGCCATTCCTGTCCCTGCTTTGTCCTGTGATTAATAACTTGAGCAGTGCAAGAAAGAAGGTCTTTCCTATCTTTGATAAATGTTGCACATAAAGGAGAGATAATAATATTGCTTCCACTTAAAAAATAAATGCTATTCTGTTGTACCCCGGTAAGAAATTGGAAGCTCAGCAGCGTGAGGTACACTGGGAAAAGAAGAAACTAAGAGGAAAGGGTGTTTGGAAAAATGAGCCCATTTTGTGAAAATGCTGAGGGGCAGATTCATTCAGCTCATCACCTGGTTTGCCTTAACAGGTTAATGCAAATGAGAAATACCTGACAGATGTCTTTTGCAGGCAGTTAGCTTTCTGCCTTTTCTTAGGATATTCTTGGAAAATGGTTCCTCAATTACTGAACTTGATTTAAAGTTACTTTAGATTCCCTAGTATCTGTGATTAAAAAAAAGAATTGACTTTTTTTAGGTGCCTTAAAATAGGAGTCAGGACTGTTTATCCCAAAACATTATCACAGGACTTATTTCAGAGCCATTTTTATTTTCTCTCCTTTCTTGAAATTTAATCTTTTTGAAGGCAGTGCTCCTTTAGGTCAGTCTTAACCTATGAGAAGCGATCATGCAGGATGAAGATAATGAATCTTACACTCCTAACATTTTCCTAATGTGAATCTTAAAAGATGGCCTGAGATTTCTCATTATAAATATGGCAAAATAATATTTGTTCTATTAAAGCTTGTTGCTTGGAATTGCTTGGGGGAGATAAAAAAGTAGACGTGTGTTGAATTTCTTAAAGGTGTTTTCTTATAACTTGTCTTCCTTCTACTCAATATATCCTAAGCATACCTGCAAAAATTTGTGTCTTTTACTGTGGAGGATAGAGCCCAGACGAGTAGGAGAGATTTGTTCAGTAGCGTGGGTAAGATGCATATATAGGGCCTGTATTGCAGAAAAGCATTGAGCTCTCCCAGAGGTGTTGGGAGTGTTATGGAGGAGGAAAGGATGGCATCGAGCTGCGGTGGCCAGGAAGTCTTCGACAAGGTCAGAACCTGGTAACTGGGCTCTGCCTGATGGTGCTGGTGACGAGGCTGTGCATGACTTTTGAGGAGAGGCTAGAAGAGTGAATTTGGAGACTTTAGTGGTCCTTATCCCCCCTCAAGCAATTTATCTTGGGCAGTTTTGAGCAGGAAAGACTCTTAAGGTGGGTTCAGCCTGAGCTTGGAGGACTCTGCATTTCAGGAAGATGAATTGGGTTTTCTTTCTGCACTTTCTGAGGTTTTCCACACAGATGAATGATGTGATCAGAATGGGAGTTTAGAAAGACTAGTTGGGAAGCAGTGTTCTAGGGGATTCAAAGCAGGACCGATACATAATTTTTGAGGAAAAAGTCATGGGTAGAAAAACTTACCTATTGGCAATTTACTTATTTTACTTTATTCTGAGCACTGTGTATAACTGAAGTCCATCTTGTTCCCCACCCCCCACCCCCCACAACACACATACAATACAGAAATCATCAGATTGGATTTTAGAATACTATCCACTGAAGATAACTAAGTATATCCAAATTAGAGAAAACCAGCTTGTGGTTCTGATTATGACTTTTCTCCAATCAAAGCTGTTTCTTTTGTTAATTAACTCTGACTTGTGACTTTCCCTCTGAAGGCAGTTCTTAAGCCCTTTGCTTCAAAGTGTTTTGGAAATGTTACTTGGTTGATTATGAGTTGAGTATATATTTTATCACCACCCTTCACACATTAGCTTCTAGTTTCATTTTAGTATGCTATTTTAGGGAAGTTCTTGTCCCATTTTTGAAAATAGTTTGTCTTTAATCCACATGAGGATTATTTGATCTTGACATATTGAAATTCAAAGTGAAAATATCTTGAAAAGGACAAAGTCAGAACTAGGTAGTGAGATTTAGAATTGAACTTAGAACTATCTTATTCTGGGTTATTTTCTATCTGTAAGCTTCAGTTTCCTTGTTTATACAATGGAAGCATTGCTTGTGCAGTTCTCACAGAGAAATTAATATGTTTAATTAAATGAGAAATTAAGTGAAATGCTATATATGGCTTTTTCAGCACTATGCTGGCATAGCTTGCTGATAAGCTATCTTTTAGACATTACAGTTATAGAAGCACAGTGGTTAGGAAGCTAAAACAGTTAATTCAGTTGGCTGAGAGAACTAATTTTATACTTTTGAAATTTTTTAGTTTTCAAATTTCGTATTTGAAGTTACTTGTTTTTAAAACATCAAGTACTCTTTTACTTTTGTGAACTCTAATGAGTGAAACTTGTATCTTCACCAGTTTCTTTTAAATCTTTTCTACAGTCTGTCATTCTACACGTTCAGATCTGTTTTGTGTTAATTTTTACTGCCTTCCCCCCCTGAAATGCAATAGTCCTGCAGTGTCCTAGTAGAAACATTGTTCTCTTTGTTAGGGCTAAAGAAGTGCCTTTGTCATTCCTTTGAGACATTCTGCAGATGCCATTTTACAGTTCTGAAAAATATGTCCCTGTCCCCCTTGTGCTGTGTTAAATTGCGTGTGTGTATGGTTTGGTATTTTAATGAAGTTGTAGTGAAAACTTGACAGTAATACTTGCCATATGATAACAAAACAAAGAAAGGCTCATTCTTGATCTAATGTGGTTATGTGTTCCCTGCCTCTGCATAGTCCTGTGTGGTCTGAAAGGAGATCCCTCCTGCCCTTAGATTTGACCTCAGATGTTTGGTGCTTTTTGACTAACTTCATAGGAAACTGTTAAAACAACTTCTGAGCAGGAGCTCTAAGCCTTTTGTTGATGTGCATAGCTTTTTAAAGATCTCTTAATTTACATGTTCTTAATAGCATTTTAAGTGGCAAGGATATACTCTAATTTGCTAAGTGACTTTAATCCTTATATTAAGAAGTGGGAGCAAAAATCTGTTGGGAATTGCCCTGATAAAATCCAGGAAATTCCTTTCATTCTTTTAAATCCAGTTAAAATCCAGCTTTAAAAAAAGGACTGCTGATGTAACGGTATCTGAAAGCACAGGCTTCTTAGAGTCCAGAAATTTTGTGTATTTAGTGCCAAACTCAAAGGGGACTGGTATGAATGTACCTCTATGTTTTAAGTAAATCCATACCATATGCCATGGTATTAGGTTATTATCCTGATTTATACCGCCTTTAAAATTGCTAAGCAGGAGTGTAGAAGTAAAGGAAGAAAACATTTTTTGTTTTTAATGGACTTTAATCTGGTTAAAACTTTTTCCTTAATCACAGTAATGGCATATTCATTGAGGAAAACTTGGTAACAGAGAAATACAAATAAAGCTGAATTTCCCATTACCCATATTCAGGAGCAATAACTCTCCCTATTTGACTCAGCATTTCCAGTCTTTTATCAGTGAATATGTACACACGCGTTAAAATAACATCCTTTTAAATCTGTTTATTTTCTCTTAGCAAAATATATGAGTATGTCTTTGTGATTTTTTAAAAAAGATTTATTTATTTATGCATATGGGAACTGGGTTACAGGCCAGAGGTATGGGGTGAGAGGGTTCACCAGAGACAGACTGGGGAGCAGAACAGGTGGAATGACTGAAATACACTGCCAAGTGGAGCAGCAGGTGAGACAGGAGAGGTCTGCTGCACCATGTGGGTTGCTCCTTGGCCGGGGATCGAACTTGTGCTGCAGTGGCTATGGACAGCTTCGTAGGTTACGTCTTAACCCCTTGCACCACCAGGGAAGCCCATCTTTGTAAATTCTTAACATAGTCCTACTTACTTTTGGAAAGGTTAATTCATGGGGCATTCATTCATTAGGTGGACTCACCTGAAAAGCGTACTTTTATTGCTTACAGATAAAGGTGTCAGAAAGTGATAGGTTAATCATTGTTGGTGTCTTCCAGGGTCATAAAAAAGCATGACAGGTCATCTGCATTAGAGCTGTTAAGAAGTCTTTGAAACAAGTAAAAATCTGATCACATAAGCCCGGGCTTGTCCTGGACAGCTGACACACCAATTTCCAACAAGAGCTGATTCTGCTGTGGCTCGACTCCTGCCATCTGGGACAGTGAAGGTATTCAGGGATTACCGTGTTTGTATATGTCTAGCCATCAGCTGCCCTTGTTTTTTAAGATACCAAGCCCTGTGTCATGCCACTCCATCTATTTCTTTTAAAGATAAATATACAATTGGTACAGGACAATAAACTCCATGGCAGGAATAAACTCTTTCTTAAAATGGATAGTCCTGTAATAGAGAAGTAGAAAAAATATTTGAGCTCCTATCACATTACTCTGGGGTTCAGTGGGAAGAATTTTTACTCTTGATGCATAGATGAGAAGGCTATAAAACCACATTTCTTTATCTTGTTATGATTATGCTCTTTTGTTCATTTAGCATTTATTGAATCTAGATGTTCTAGTATAGCAGACATGGACTTATAGGCAATAATGGGAGGACATAAAAAGGGACTGAGAAGGGGTTTAGGTTATGGCTCAGCCCAGACTGCTTGACTAGAACTAGTTAAAATCACTAGCCTGGGGTGGACGATGGTTTGAGAAAAATATCAGGCAGATAGTGACAAAGGGGAAGTTCAGTGTGGCAGCTAAGTTGGTTGTTAGGTATTTTACCCTCTTTACCTGATAAGTACGTGCATACACACATTTCTGTACATAGAATGTATAAATGTGTGTTTAACTGTTCAGTGCATATGGTCATGGCTAGGTCCTTGTCTGTTATAGTTCAGCTTTTATAGGTACAGCTGCATTTATTGTTCTTCCCTCACCAAAAGCAGAACACAGAAAGTCCTGTTGGCGTATTACATCTAGAAGCAATGGTGTACTGGTGATATTCATTCCTCTGGTTCTATTTCCACCCAGCTTTTATGTCGCTGGTCAACGCCATTGTTCAGATTTGCCCCAGAACAGTGCCCTGCCCTACCTAGTCCTGTTGCAAAGCTGTAAATCCACATTCTGTTGCTCACCAGTTGTATGGTTCATGGAGTGGGTTATCAGTTAGATGAGAACAGTGATTGCTCTGGGTCTGAAGTGTGATTCCTGATCAGCTCTCACTACCTCGGTTCTGCCCATTGGGAGGATTACCTTCACCCATTACATTCTATCTCAAGGCCTGACTTTCACATTCTGGGTATCCTACTTAATCAGCCAGTGGGCATTGTTGCTGTGGTAGAGACTCCCTGCTGTGTTGCCATCTACCAGTCTTTTCATAGCCTTGTGACTGAGTGTGTGTGTGTGTGTGTGTGTGTGTGTGTGTGTGTGTGTGTGTGATCAGTTCACAAATGACTTGATTAGGCTTTCCTCCATCCCAGATTTCATTCCAGGTATCTTGTGGCTTAAAATCAGTAATCGCTATTGTTAGGTTTGGTCATAAACTGCCTGTTTTTAACCTTATACCTGGAAGTTTCAGTTGGTTTTTTTCCTAAGTGTAGACTTGACTCGGAAGTAGACAGTCTAGACAGAGGAGAGTCAGCATTAATGAGGACGTGGAAGCATGAAGACTCATTTTGTTTTGAGGAGGCTGCTGTGGCTGGAGTTCAGGGGGTGTGAAAAGGGGATGGGAAGCAGAAGCCAGGCTGCAAAGCTGGATTGGAGCCAGCCAGTGCTGAACCTAGAAGGTTATACTGAGTAGTTTGGTCTCCTTCCTATAGGCTCTGCAAAGCCACTGGAAGCCTTTTAAATATTATAGTTATTTTTTGGAAGGAAGAGACACATGTATACGTATCTGTGTTTTAGAGATATTACATGCCAGGTTGTCTAGAAAATTACCTCATTTCTCTGGATAGCTATTCTAGTACTTTTTACTGTCAATTAAGGGAGCCTACCCAGTGGCACCTCATTATTTTATTTATAGCATACAGGTGTCATTACCAACTACAGAAGTGCTCTTAATTTCTGTGTGTCAAATCTGATGTCCTGATTTTTTTTGTGTGTTGTTCATTATAAAGATGATTAGAATGGAATATTTAACTTAATGGTAATAGAGTATTTCATTGTTAGCCTGTAATAAACATGATTTGCTTTGATTGCTAATAATCTGAAGCCTGGGAACACTGACTTAAGGAGCTGTGTTTGGTATTTGTTTCTATTTAGTGGGAGACAAATTTGTGCCCAGTCATGGGGATTCAAAGATGGAGTCAGAAGACTGAGCTGCTGCTAAATTCATAATAAGACAAACTGATACAAGAATTCACAAAATGGGGGGCCTCCCTGGTGGCATAGGGTTTAAGCCTCAGAGCTATCATGCTAGTACCGCTCCACTGGCTGCATGGCCCGTGTTCGATCCCAGGGAGCTAACCCACATGGCACAGCAGATCTCTCCTGTCTTGCCTGCTGCTCCCCTCAGCAGTGTATTTCAGTCAATCCGCCTGTTCTGCTTTCCACTCTGTGGTGAATTCTCTCACCTGCCCACCCATCCCCGGCACCTCTGGCCTACACCCTAGTTCTATAAATAAACAAATCTTTTAAAATTCTTTGAAAAAAAGAATTCACAAAATGGTCATTTCAACAGTAGAAATACATAAAGGGTGCAAGGTCAACCTGGATGGAGATAGGAAAAGAGAGAGTGATGCCTGTCCTAAGTCTGATTTTGTTGTTGTTGTTGTTGTAACTGGGATTTGTTTTTCAGCTATATATACTGCTTAATGAATTTGATCAAGTTATTCACTAAATCACCAAATGTTCCTTCGACTAGCTAATAGGTGTGGAGGGTATGGATGTAAGACTGAAGTCTTTGCACTGATCACCTGGCAAAGCAGCCAGTCAACAGCAAAATAAGAGATTTTGGGGACTGGGAATTACCCTGAAAAACATGTATAAATAAAATTTTCTTGCTGAGTTATTTTGTTTGATATTTAATGAACTCTTACCTTATATCAAGAGTGTGATACGCTGAATCCTTTTATAAATTACCTTTTAATAGTTGCTTAAGAAGTACTTGTTAAATGAATGAATCTTTTGTGTACAAACAGATTTTGTAAATTGGTATTCATTCAGAAGAACATTTGCATTATTTGCTACTGGCTGTCTCTTATTAAAAGGATACTTTCCTTTATTTTTTTCCAATTGAAATTTCCAGGAAGTATCACTGTCCTAGGGTTTTTCTGTCCAAGTGCTTTTCTGAAGCCAATGGGTGGGTGTATGTTTGGATCCAAGAGAAACAAATTATAACCATGGATGTGAACTTTTCACAGTCTTCTCAAAATAAAAGCTTGAAACAGAAAATTTTAGGCTATTCTTTTGCGAAGACTACATATCTTTTTCAAAAAAGAAATAAACAGTCTGGTAAGCATATGTGGGTCTTCAGATGGTTCCCATCTTTTCTTGTAATAAGCAGAACACCTTAATATAGTCACTGAGAATTTCTGGCCATAATTTCAATCCTTAAAAATGGTTAAGAGAAGTATACATGTGGTGAAGTTCAAATAACACTGAACATTAATTACTATTTCAAAGACTGGCATATTGGGAATCAAGGATAAAAATATGGATGCCCAATAATAACTTTCTATTGTATGAAACATAGATACATTGAAAGTCTCTTAGCTTACGTTTATTAAATATGAATTCAGTAGGGAAAAGGAGAAAGCTTATAAATTGTGAAGTCCCTGCAGATGCATACTTGGTAATAGCACATAGGTTTTTTTTTAATTTTATGTATTTTTTTTACATTGTTCTTCATTTTTGTACATGTATGCTTTCTCATCTTGGTTATAGTACCCGTGAAATTCCCACCACCAATTCACCCTTGTACCATCACCATAGTCCCTTGTGTTCTTCCCACCCCTGTTTTGATCCTATTCCCTTTTCCACACCCTGCAGAATGTTTCTGGTTTATAGTTGCTTGTTGATTTTGATTTTTACTTTATTATAATTACTTTCCCCTCCCCACCCGATCCCTTATTTGGATCCTCTATGTTCCTCCTATAAGTAAAACCATCCGGTATTTTTCTTGTTTATTTCACTAAGCATGATCCCTTCCAGCTCCATCCATGTTGCTGTGAATAGCATGAGTTTATCCCTTTTGATTGCTGGGTAATACTCCATTGTGTATATATACCACATCTTCTTGATCTAGTCATCTATTTTGGGGCATTTGGATTGTTTGCATAGCTTACCTATTGTAAATAGTGCTGCAGTAAACATAGGGGTGCAGGTGCCCTTTTGAATTAATGTTTTTGTGTCCTTTGGGTAAATACCTAGGCATGAAATTGCTGGATCATATAGAAGCTCCATTTTTAGCAGTTTGAGGAACCTCCAGACAGCTTTCCATAGTGGTTGGACTAGTTTACATTCCCACCAGCAGTGTAGGAGAGTTCCTTTTTCTCCACATCCTTGCCAACATTTGTTGTTGCTAGTTTTCTTTGATAGCACGTAGATTTCTTAAGGTCTCCCAACCCCACTCCGGGTGACTACCTTGGTGTTGGTGTAAGGAGGACATATGTAGCCATACAGCTGCCAACCTGGTAGAGGGGAAAAGTGGAAATATGGTTAGTAAAGGAATACTGTAGCCATAACGTTGACATGTTTTAGTTTAAAAGCTACTAGTGTTTCCAAGGTAGGGACTTTAAACCAAGATTGTGAAGTTTAGTAGCTAAAATTCACTCTTGCACTAAACAAGGTACGTCATTTCTGCTGTCAAGGGTCATGTCTTTGCTTTGTTACCATAATTCATTTTGTTCATAACTATTTACTTCATACCATTTTTATTCCCAGTTTTTATGTTTAAAGTAAATATCTTATATACAGCATGGAATTGGGTCTTGGTTTTTGTTTTTTTTTTTAAGATTTATTTATTTATACAAGAACTGGGGTACAGGCCAGATGCGCGGGAGGGTGAGAGAGCTCACCAGAGACAGAGTGGGGAACAGAACAGGCAGACTGACGAAATACACTGCTGAGGGGAGAAGTGGGCAAGACACGAGAACACTGCTTTGCCATGTGGGATTCTTGCCGGCTGGGATCGAACTGGCGCTGCAGAGGCTGCGGACAGCTTCACAGTATGGCTCTCAACTGCCTGCACCACCACGGAGACTATGGGTCTTGCTTTTTAATCCAA